GGTTACTTTTGAGTTAAAATACTGAAATAATCATTAAACACAATTTTAAATTGATATACTTTGGCATTGTATTTTTATATGGTATAGAAAAGTTAAAAATATTTAGATCTGTTAATAAGCAAAAAATTGAGGAAATATCTTCCTAAACAATTATTAAATGGGCCGGGCACAGTGGCTCACGCCTGTAATCCCAGCACTTTGAGAGGCCGAGGCGGGCAGATCACGAGGTCAGGAGATCAAGACCATCCTGGCTAACACGGTGAAACCCGTCTCTACTAAAAATACAAAAAAACTAGCCGGGTGTGGTGGCGGGCGCCTGTAGTCCCAGCTACTCAGGAGGCTGAGGCAGGAGAATGGTGTGGACCCGGGAGGTGGAGCTTGCAGGGAGCTGAGATGACACCACTGCACTCCAGCCTGGGCAACAGAGTGAGACTCTGTCTAAAAACAAAAAAACAAAAAACAAATTATGAAATGGTTTTCTTCTAAAAATACTGATATGAAACAGTTCAAAAGTACTTCCTAGGTTTTTCACTAAAATTAAAGTTCCTGACTTAGAATTGTAGTTAATGCACTTTGAGAGACCAAGGCAGACAGATCACTTGAATCCAGGAGTTAGAGACTAGCCTGCGCAACGTGGTGAAATCCTGTCTCTACACAAAATACAAAAATTAGCCAGGCATGGTGGTGTGGGTCTGTAGTCCCATCTACTTGGGAGGCTGAGGCAGGAGGATTGCCTGAGCTCAGGGGGCGGAGGCTGCAGTCAGCCGAGATCGCAACACTGCATACAGCCGAGATCTTGTTGCCTGAGCAACAAGAGGGAGACCCTGTGTCAAAACAAACAAACAAACACAACTGTAGTTAATATATGTAATTAAAACTACTAGATGTAAAAGAAACAATTCTGAATACAGAGCATGTAAGAAAAATAGGTTATGTTTTTGGTAAAGATTATAAAGAAGGCATGAAAATGTGGTTTTTGCCTGGCATGGTGGCTCACACCTGTAATCTCAGAACTTTGGGAGGCCGAGGCGGGTGGATCACGAGGTCAGGAGATCAAAACCATCCTGGCTAACATGGTGAAACCCTGTCTCTACTAAAAATACAAAAAATTAGCCCAGTGTGGTGGTGGGTGCCTGTAGTCCCAGCTACTCGGGAGGCTGGGGCAGCAGAATGGCGTGAACCCGGGAGACAGAGCTTGCAGTGAGATGAGATTGTGCCACCGGACACCAGCCTGGGCGACAGAGCCAGACTCTGTCTCAGGAAAAAAAAAAAAAAAAAAAAAAAAAAAAAAGAAAATGTGGTTTTTGTTATGGGAAGAGTAAATTTGTCTAGAGGTTTTTAAAGGTTAAGCTGAAGGGATAAAAAAGAATGATAGATAAAAGTGAATGGATATAGAAAGCTGTGGAAAGAAAGAGAATAGGGAAAATTGTGAGAGGTTATAAAAGATTTACTGGGCTGGGTGTGGTGGCTCATGCCTGTAATCCCAGCACTTTGGGAGGCCGAGGCAGGTGGATCACCTGAGGTCGGGAGTTTGAGACCAGCCTGACCCAACATGGAGAAACCCCGTCTCTACTAAAAATACAAAATTAGCTGGGCGTGGTGGCACATGCCTGTAATCCCAGTTACTCGGGAGGCTGAGGCAGGAGAATTACTTGAACCCAGGAGGTGGAGGGTGTGGTGAGCAGAGGTCGCGCCATTGCACTCCAGCTGCCTGGGCAACAAGAGCGAAACTTCATCTCAAAAAAAAAAAAAAAAAAAAAAAAGATTTATTGGCCGGGTATGATACCTCATGCCTGTAATCCCAGCACTTTTGGAGGCCAATGTGGGAGGGTCACTTGAGCCCAGGAGTTCCAGACCAGCCTGGACAACACGGAGAAACCTTGTCTCTCTCTGGAAAAAAAAAAAAAAGAGAGAGAAAAAAGAAAAAAAGATTGATTGACATCTTACCTTGCAGAGTACAAGCTGTTTGGGATTGGAGGGATTGGCATTCCCATTGTGTTCGCAGCCTTCCTCTGTCTTCCAGACTGTGGAACGCACAGGTGGGATAATAGAAAACCCATCTGCAAAGCTAAAATCAACTTCTAACTCTCCCTGGTCTAACGTGTTTCCACTGTGGTGCTTAACTTGGGTTCTACCTTGTTTGGAAAACTTCAGCTTTCTCGCTTTGAAATAATACCGGGAAGGCCCTGTGCCTGGATGAAGGAGCCTCCAAACCAGCTCCCGTTAAAGGAGACATTCTTCATTATTGCCAAGACCCTATAGAGCTTCTCATTGCACATTCTAAATTAATTAAGGATTCTGTTAGCAGCAAGTTCTCAGGAGATGAAGATATGAAAGATCAAGGTCTCCAACCTGGAGATTTTATGAGAAAAGCATCAAATATGCTTCCTCCTGGGACCACACCAGGCAGCCTCACCAGAGATGACGTTTTCATCACTGGAGAACTTCAACATCTTGTTCTTCAGGCCAGGACCAGAAGGAGACAAAATAGATATCTGGTTACCTTCAGAAATAGAAGCACTCTTCAGTTCTAGATTTCAAATTGTTAACAGTTGCCCTTATTTGTGTCATATTTTTCTCTCTTTTTTTTTTTTTTTTTTTTTTTGAGGCAGAGTCTTGCTCTGTTGCCAGGCTGGAGTACAGTGGCGTGATCTCAGCTCACTGCAACCGCCACCTCCCGGGTTCAAGCGATTCTCCTGCTTCAGCCTCCCAAGTAGCAGGCGCCTGCCACTAAGCCTGGCTAATTTTTGTATTTTTAGTAGAGGCGCAGTTTCACCACGTTGCCCAGGCTGGTCTCAAACTCCTGACCTCACGTAATCCGCCCGCCTTGGCCTCCCAAAGTGCTGGGACTACAGGCATGAGCCACCACGCCTGGCCCATATTTTTCATTCTTAAATTGATTAGGCTTTGTGTTTCTAGATGTCCAAAGTCAACCTAAAAACCCCGAGGATGCTAGCTAGATGTTCAGAAGCCATCCAGCATGCGTGGCTCTTTTGTAGCAGATGGCCTGACAGACCCTGTGCCAATCAACCTTGGCCTTGAGGCTTCAAGAAGTACTTAAGCGCCCACCACACCTCTCCTCTTTCCCGCCATGCGGGGTGAGATGGCCCGGAAATGAGCCTTCCCAGCAGAAAAACTTACATCTAGAATGTCAATCATCACTGCTTTGAGAAGAGAAAGATTTTGATCAAACACGAGAAATGAGAAAAGAAAAATAGCTTAGAGCATCCTGAGCTATGTGGGGTACCCAAAGATTATCTGGTCCAGAGACACCTGAGCACAAGGCCTCAGTCCCGCCTCCCCACCCACGCCTGGGGCAACTGCTGGAAGGCATTTTGTTCTTTTCTTTCCTATATTGTCCGCCTGGCCGCCTCAGCGTCATCTTCATGTTCCTGGAATTTGTGACACAAATAATAATGCACACCAATCAATAGCTTATGTTATTTGAGTGCAAATTCTTGGTGAACTTAGGAGCTGCGTCTTCGTTTTTCCTTTAAAAACGCACTTGTAAACTGCTGCGAATGAGAGCGCGTGCATTCAGACCAACTTGAGTCTGTGCTTCCACGCTGCAGTCCTCAAACTTGGCCCCAACAAACTGTATTTCTATTCGTTTTGCCTGTTTTCTCCTTTAGGTTGAAAAGCTGACAGCAGGCCCCAGACGCTGAGGGGGCGCCTTCCCAGCTTGACTTCCCGCCCCCGTCCCCCGCCCCGTCCCCTGCCCCTCTTCAGGGCCCGTTCAGTGGCAGTCGGGGCTGTGGACCAGTTCAGCCATCCCTCCCCACCCCACCAGGGCGCTGCGGCCTCACTCCTACGTCCACGGGCAGGCTCAGCCCCTCCTGGCAGCCGGGTGACCTCAGCTGCCCCGCTGGCCCCAACTCCACCGGACGACGCAGGCTGCGGGACCCCAGGCCTGGACCCCTGGCCCCGATCCGCCCGCGCAGGTCGGGGGAGCTCCGCTCGGGCAGCTCTCGGGGTGGTGCTGGGAGGCCGCGCAGAACTGCAGGTGGCTAGGTTCGCGAAGCGCCGAGAATGGGGTCTGTGGCCGCCTGCCCGCACCTGAGTTCCTCCGCCCCAGCCTGCGGCGTCTGCAGGTCCCGCTCCGCGCCGAGCCCCCGCTGCACCTGCACCGAGGCCACGGGGCGCATGCGCGGCCGCGGGGGGCGAGGGCGAGGGCGAGGGCGGGGGCCGGGGCGGGAGGGGTCCTGCGGGCCCCGCATCCCCATGCCCACTGCGGGGCTCGGACAGGGGGACGCCACGCCAGGCCGCAGACCCCGCCCTTCCACGTCCCCACTCTGGCGGCCCGTGCGGCTCCGGACGACGCTTCCCGGGGGCTCCGGGCCGGGGCAGCCGCGGCGCCCTCTCCCCAGGTCCACCGCGGGCGCCGCTTTCAGACAAAGGCAGGAGACGGAGCGGGAGACGCTGCCGTGACTGTCCCGGGCGGCCGCGGAGGAGGAGAAGGACGTGGCGCCACCGACGCCGGCGGCCGGGCCCGGGGTCTGGGCGCTCCCAGGCGCGCGGCGTGGGAGCGGGGGGCGGGGCGGGCGGCGCCCATCACGCGCTCCGCGGCCGGGTCCTGAGCCCCGCCGGGCGCCCAAGGGGCCAGGAGCCCCCGCCCGCGCCGCCACCCCCGCCCGCGCCCGTCCCCTCGCGCTGCCCGGCCGCCCCGTCGCGCCCAGCGAGCCACGGCGGGGCGGGGGCGCTGTCTCCCCCACCCCCGCGATCACATGGTGACCCCCGGCAGCCAATGCAGTGGACGCTAGGACCCTGCGGGCCGCGGGCGCCGCGACTGCACCGGCGCCGCCGCATTATAAATACTTCTCCAAAATGCGGCGCAGCTCCCTGCGCGCACCCCGGCCGCCCGCCGCCTCCGCCCCGCGCCCCTGAGCCGCCGCCGTCGCCGCCGCTGCTGCCGCCGCCGCCGCCGCCGGTCGAGGGCGCCGCGCCGCTGCCCTGGGCCGGCCGTGCCCGCCGCCGCCCGGCCGCGTCCCGCTGCCGCGCCGGGCCCGGCCGTGCCCGCCGCCGCCCGGCCGCGTCCCCGCTGCCGCGCCGCCCGGCCGGGTGCATGCATTGTGGGCCTCCCGACATGGTCTGCGAGACGAAGATCGTGGCCGCCGAGGACCATGAGGCGCTGCCGGGGGCCAAGAAGGACGCGCTGCTCGCCGCCGCCGGCGCCATGTGGCCCCCGCTGCCCGCAGCTCCTGGGCCGGCCGCCGCGCCCCCCGCGCCCCCACCTGCCCCGGTGGCTCAGCCTCGCGGCGGGGCGGGGGGCGCGGGGCCGCCGGGGGGGCGCGGCGTGTACATCCGCGAGTTCCGTGCGACCGAGCAGGAGGCGGCGCGCCGCATCTTCTACGACGGCATCATGGAGCGCATCCCTAACACGGCCTTCCGCGGCCTGCGGCAGCATCCGCGCGCGCAGCTGCTCTACGCCCTACTGGCGGGTCAGTGCGTCGGGCCCCCGGCTGCCGCAGTCCCTCGGGCCGGCGCGGAGCTCCCTCGCCCCGGCGTCCACGCGGACCCCGCGCCCGGCGCCTGGGGACCAGCCTGGGAAGCCCCCGCTTTCTGCCGCGCCGGCCCCGGGCAGGGCTGGCCAGGGGCGTGGGGATGGGCGCGGGGCCCAGAGCGGGCCAGAGCCGGGGAGGGTCCGGGGTCCACACCTGCGTCCCTGCCGCGCAGCTCCCCACCCCCCACCGCCTCCCCTGTCCCCTCGCGGGCATCCTGGGTGGGGGCGGGTGCCAGGGCAGGTAGCGCCCGCCGCGGCTGGGCCCCGGCGAGTGCCTAAATATAATCTGCGGGCGGGGGAGGCCGCCTCCCGCTCGGTGCTAATTTATGAGGGGAAGACAGCCGGCGCCGCGGGGGGTGCGCGCGCCTGGCACAGCCGGGGCGGTCGCAGAGGGCGGCCCCTGCAGGGTCTTTGGGTGCCCTTCCCCCCAGAGCTTCCTGCCGGGGTGAGGGAGTTCGCTCCCATTTTACAGATGAGGAGCTTGAGGCCGGGTGGGGAGGACGCGACTCCCCCAAGGTCATGGCAGCCGAAATGCGGCTGGAAGCCGTGTGGGGCCTCCCTGCCCTGTCCCTGCTCTCAGAGCGCCCGGACGCTAGCCAGGAAGGGCTCTTGCTGGGGCCTTGGGAAGAGGGGGACCTAGGGCCCGGTGCTGGAACGTGGGACTTCCCTTTCCCCTTCCCCCTTCCCCTACCCCGTGCGGGGCCTGGTCTGCGGGGCAGCTCCCTGGCAGGATCTGCCCACCTTGGCTTCAGCAAGTCAGCGTGGGCAGGGCCCTTCCCAGCCCGGGCACCCCAAGGGTGTCCTGCCGTGTTTGGAGGCTTGTTCCAGGCGGTGGGGGTGGGTGGGGTGGTTGTCTTTACCGCAGGAAGCTTGGAAATAGGGAGAAGTAGAAAGCACCCGAGATGACCCCGGCTCCTCCAACCGGAGCGCGGCCCGGCGCGGCGTCTCCCAGGGCCTGGGGACCCCCCGCCGCGCCGCTGACCCGCGCCCTCTGCCCGCAGCGCTGTGCTTCGCCGTGAGCCGCTCGCTGCTGCTGACGTGCCTGGTGCCGGCCGCACTGCTGGGCCTGCGCTACTACTACAGCCGCAAGGTGATCCGTGCCTACCTGGAGTGCGCGCTGCACACGGACATGGCGGACATCGAGCAGTACTACATGAAGCCGCCTGGTGAGTCCCACTCCTGCCCCTCCCCGCGCTCCACCCCAGACAGCACTCGGGTGCACCCACTCCAGCAACCTCAGGGCAGATTTGGGCGAGGGCCAGCGTGGGTGGGCCTGGGCCGGGGCCCCTGTGACCTGAGCCTTCTGGGTGACCGAGGCCTCGAGTGTCAGCGGGGCTGGGGGAGGCAGAGCCGGCTCCTCCCGCTGAGTGACCTGAGCTGGCCCTGCGACGCGGTGGCTCCACCATTCCCTGCTCTGGATGCGTCTCCCTGGTGTCTGCTGCGGTGGGGCAAGGGCTGCTGGGCTCTTTGGGTCCTGTCTGGCGTGCCTTGCGGTGCTGGGGTTGCCTGCAGTGCCAGGGCCCTGGGGGGAGGGGACTTGTGTGGCAGGGGCTGGGGGCCCTATTGGGGCACAGAGGATGGGGTGGGGGCAGGGGACCTGACCTTGAGCCTTGGCCTTCACTTCTGGCCTGATCTCTGGGCCACTTAGCTGGAGGGTTTTGTCCCAGCCCCTGTGGCCTTCTGTAGCTGGAGGGGCTGGGACTGGGCTCTAGGGGAGCTGGGGGTTGCTCTCCACCCCAGGCTGGCCGCCAGCCGCTGAGCCACACCGTTTCCCCCATGCCAAATGCCCCAGGGGCGAGGACTCTGCTCTCTGGGATAGGAGGCTCTCTCCGATCCTGGAGGGTCTATAGGCCAATGAGAGGGACAGAATGGGCCCAAAGGGTTGGGCAGGGTCTGTCAGGATCCCGGTCAGTGTCAGGGGAGGGGCAGCGGCTCCGGCATCGCTGGCTGCCATGCTCTACCCCCGCCCCACAGCCTTGGCGCCTGCTGCTCTCCTTGACCCTTTCCTAAACCCAGACAGAGCATCTGAGCAACCCCTGAGCCCTGGCCAGCCTCTGGTCTGCTTGGGAGGGGAAATGGGCCATGAGGAAGCACAGGCCACAGCAACAAAGGGGGCTCTGGTGGGCACACGGGGCATGGCCTTCTCCCTCTGGGCTGTGGTCTCCCTGGTGTGAGGGAGCGGAGGGGTAGCTGGCAGGGCTGCAGGAACACCCCATGAGGGCAGAGGCTGGGTAGCTGCTGATGGTCCATGCTGGATACCTTGGAGCTGCTTGGGCACATGGGCAAACCGAGTCCTGGAAGGAGTGAGGTGTGCCCAGGGCCACATGGTGCTGGAGGTTGTTATTCCTGGGATGGGCTTGATCTCTATCTGGTCTTGCATGGGTAGGTAGAGGCAGAACCCCTGGGTGGTGGGCAGGCCAACTGGTGGGAGGGGTACTGGTCCAGGACCCCCTCCTTGGAGGTGGAGGTGTTGTGTAGGTAAGGAGATGGGGGGGGTTGGGCGTGGGAGACCCCAGGGGCTCCAGGCCAGGGGGCCGAGAAGGGGCAGCCCTCCTGGGAACCCTGGAGCTGCACAGAGCTTGGAGGGCCGAGCTTCTTGGGGCCGTGGCACTGGCAGCGGTGCCCAGTGGCTCCCCTTGGGCTACTTCTCCTTGAAGGGCCCTCAGTACCCCCTTAACCGCCTGCCAGGCCTCAGCGTCCAGCACTGAAGGAGATGGAGGTCCCCCCCATGGAGCCAGCGGGCTGGGGGCTGCGCAGAGGGGCAATGGGGAGGGATGGGAGGGCTTCCTGGGGCTGGGGGCAGGTGCAGAGCCTCCTTGAGGAGGAGGCCGGAGGGGCCACAGGCAGCCTGTGTGGCTCTCCACTGGCCAACCCCTTGGTCTTCAGAGAGGTTTCTGGGTGCCACCTCTGCCTTTGGCTGCTGGAGGCGGCCGGGCTTCCCCTGTAGCCTGTGCCTGCAGGTTCCCTCCCACAACTGCCCCCACCTGCCCCTGCACCTCTCCTCCCCTGCTGGTTCCCCTCCCTGACGACCGCCACCTCCTGGCTTCATGCCTGACTTGAGGCGGGAATTGGGCCGTGCTGTGGATGGGGTGGTGGCCTGGCCACTTGGCTTACTGCCAGGAGAGGCTGGGACCAGAGGGGCCACCCGCCGTCCCCCACTTGGGTTTATAGGAAAGCTCCTCCTGGGCTGCAGGGAGCCTTCTGGACGCACTTTGCTGACCGCTGCCCCTCGCAGCCCTCTGGTGTGGGTGCTGGAGTTTGCCGTGATGGCCTGGGTGAACCTGGGTGGCCAGGAGCCACAGCAGTTTGGCTGCACCGTGGCCTGTTCAGGGTGGCCCAGGCCATCGAGGCGTTTGGGTCTGGAGTAGCTGGGCAGGGCAGGGGCCTGACTGGGCAAAGCCTGCCCCAGCTGTTGGTCTCAGAAGAGGGACTCGGCCTTTGACCACCACTCTGAGCAGCGCAGCCTCCAGGCTTGAGTGGGTCCTGGCTATTGGGCTATTGGGTAACTGGTGTTGGGCTGGCTTTCTCTGCTTAAGGAGCACTAGAGGCGGGCTCTACCTACTTGTCCTGAATAGTGGCTGCCCCTCCCTTGGCTCCGGCAGAGCTAGGACTGGGGGGCTGCCGGGACTGGGTGTCCCACTGCCCTGGCTTGGTGTCTGGCTGGAGGGGACCCCTACCAGCCCCTGGCCCTGTCTCACCCCAGAGGTGGAGGGGTCTCCCCAGCCTTCCTCACTGGGTGTCCCTGACCACCCTGTCCCCTGTAGGCTCCTGCTTCTGGGTGGCCGTGCTGGATGGCAACGTGGTGGGCATTGTGGCCGCACGGGCCCACGAGGAGGACAACACGGTGGAGCTGCTGCGGATGTCTGTGGACTCGCGTTTCCGCGGCAAGGGCATCGCCAAGGCGCTGGGCCGGAAGGTGCTGGAGTTCGCCGTGGTGCACAACTACTCCGCGGTGGTGCTGGGCACGACGGCCGTCAAGGTGGCCGCCCACAAGCTGTACGAGTCTCTGGGCTTCAGACACATGGGCGCCAGTGACCACTACGTGCTGCCTGGCATGACCCTCTCGCTGGCCGAGCGCCTCTTCTTCCAGGTCCGTTACCACCGCTACCGCCTGCAGCTGCGCGAGGAGTGACCGCCAGCACTCACCCGCCCGCCACCCCGGCCGCCCTGCCCGCCTGTGCCCGCCTGCCCGCCGCCCGGCGCGGCCTCTGCTTTCAGACGCCCACCTGGTGTTTGGGTTGGGATTTCCCTTTTCAACATCCTGCGGTTGTCTGGCTGGTTCTGGGGGGTGCGGGGCTGTTGCTCTTCCGCGACACTGGTGGGGGTGGGTCGTTTGTCGCCACAGCCCCTCGCCCTTCCCCACCTGCCCGGGCGGCTTGCCACCTGAAGAGTGGCATCTTGGACCACCGCAGTTGTCCACGACGCTGCCCTGCCCGCCGCCACTGGGGAAGGCCCAGCCTTGCTCACCAAGCACAGAACCTCGCAACAGAGCCCGGGGCCAGGCTCCGGCCCCGCCTGCGGCCCCAGCGCCACTGCCCGTGGAGGCCCGAGCTGGCCATGGCGCTGCTTTGCTCCGAGCATGCCGAGGGTGTGGCCCGGCCGAGCATGCCGCATGCACACAGCCCTGCCCTGCCGCCCTGCCCGGAGACCTGGGCCGGTGAGCGCCCCTGTCCCTGGCCCCGAGCTGGCCATGGGAGGGCCTGTCCCTGCCCCCACCCCCTGGAGGGCCTGGTCTGCCCCGCGCTGCCCGGCTCTGTCCACGCCTGCTTTGCTCTGATGCCCTCCTTTCCTCTGGCTCCGGCCCCTCCCCTGCCTGGGCTGGGCTGGCTGGTGTCATCACCTGGGTGGCTCCCATGGCGTCCGTGGCACCGCCGGGGTGGGGGTCCATGGGACCCCTCTCCCCAGTGCCCACTGGATCACGGTGGCTTCTCCCAGATTTCCCTGGGGACCTCCTGCCTCTGGCTGACGGTCCACCCTGTGAATCTTACCAGCCCAGGCTGCTGCCAACAGCGCCCAGCCCACAGCTTCTCCCAGCCTGAAACCAACCCATTTTCTAATAAGTTATTTAGACAGAATAGCACTCTGCATGACTTTAATTCTTGGGACAAAACGGTAGTTTGTACCGTAAGACACAGTTTCTGGCCCAGTGTGATGGGGGTGGGTGGCCAGGTGGGTGGAGCGCTCTGCTGTTGGAGACCTGGAGGGAAACCCTGACTGGGTGTCATTTCCCACCATGGAGCACGTCTCCCAGCCCTGGCCTGCAGGGTGGGCAGGGTGGGGGGCAAGGGAGTCCGCAGCCTCTGGGAGGAGGGGCAGGGTGCTGCCTTGGGCTGGGTGGGAAGAGGGTTGGCCGCCTCGGCTCCTGCTGGCCATGCTCCTGGTCTCTCCTTCCTGAGGTCACAGGCAGGGGCTGCCCTGGGTGGGGGGGTGGCCTGGAAGGGGAGACAGAGGAGGAGGGTGACACAGGTCGCACATCCAGCCTAGAGGCGGACCTGGCTTTGGTGGCAGGAGAAGAAGAAACACTTGCCCAGACCCCTTTGTGTGGGGAATTGGGGAGGGGGTGTGGCAGGCAGGCGGGCCACGGAACTGGGTCCCGGGCACCAAGGCCACGTGCAGGGCCACGGAGGGATGCTCCTCACGAGGCTTCAGAAGTGAGCGAGGGGACGGAGAAGCCCCGTGTCCGAGGGCCTTTTGTCCCGTTAGCAATTGAGGTGTGCAGAGCACTGTACAGACCCCACTCCCCTGTACATTCTCCCTGGAGGTGCCCGGTCCCTGCTCGGGGATGGGAGTTTTGTAGACTGTACAGAAATCGGCACCCTATTTTCTTGCAGCTCAGATTTTGTTAATCTGGAATATACAGACAGACGTAAAGTGTTTTAGCAAAATGGAAACAAACAGTTGTGCCTTTTTCCTCTTTTGGTTTGGTTTGGGTTTGGCTGGGGGCAGGAGGGGCAGGGCGGGCCAAGTGCAGTCAGGTCTTGGGAGTGTCATGTCGGGGTGCCGCCAGCTTCCCTTGGTCCTGTGCCTTTGGAGCCTTGGGCTCCTGGGGTTAAGGGCACTTGGGGCTGGCTGTTGGAGCCCACCAACGCCAGGGCAGGGCCTGGAGGCCCAGGGATTGCCAGTGTCTCGTTGATACTGACCTGAGCTGGGCTCATAGCAGATCCCCCTCCTGGGTTCTGAGAGTCCTGGGCAGTGTGGCCCTCTCCCATTCTGGTGGCACCTGCGCCCCTGAGTGACCTCTTCCCTGGCTGCACTGCCCTGTGGGTGGTGGGACGCTTGGCCTTTCTTTGTTGCTGTCAGGACTTGGTAGAGATGGCAGGAAGGGTGTGTGGGGTGGTTGCGTGCGGAACCCTGCCGCCCCTGAGGTGTGCAGAGGCACTGGTGTGCCTGCCAGGCTGGGGCGGAGCTGCCCGGAGCCCTCTCCAGGCCAATGTGCAGCTCAGTGGGGCCCTTGAAGGCCACTGGGGGGCAGATGTGTCCTCCCCCCGGGCTGGAGGCCAGGCTGCCCTGGGCCGCCTTGTCCCTCCAGCCCGGGATCCCACTGCTCTGCACGTGTGCACTGACGTGAATTTTATATGTTTGTAGAAACTGATGTAACTTTTTCTACCTCTGAAGCGCCCTCCTGGGCCCTGCTGTCATGTGGCTGGTGCGGCTTCCCCGAGTGCTGGCCCCCTGCCCGCTCCCCATGGGCACCCACCACTCAGACTCTGCGTGGCGAGGCCCAGGGAAAGCCAGCCCGGGGCCCGGCACTGCTTAGGGGCCTGGGGCTCCTGGAATTTCTGTGTGTTTGGAAGCCTCTGTAGTGGGGAGGGCATAAGGCGGGAGGGGCTGGCAGTGCCCGGGGCCAGAGCTGGGCGAAGGAGGATGAGCAGTGCAGGCCTGACGAGAGGCTCCGGGCAGCTGAGGGCTGAGGCGCCTTGGGATGCCCCGCACTGCCCAGAGCCATGGGTCTTGCTGTACTGGGGGTGGGGTGGCCCCGTGCGGCTGCCACCACCCAGGTGTGAGCCGCTGCAGACCTGGCTCCTGAGGGTGGGAGGCCTGCTTGTGCTGAAGCTGCCATTTGGTCTGGCCCCCAGAAGGGCTCCTGAGTGTAGGGAGTTGAGCCCCGCAGCCATGGTGGCGTCTCCCCCTCCTTCCTCCGCCCCATGCCCAGCCTTGCTTCCGGCTGGTGTCATGCCTTGGGGCCAGGCAGCAGCTGAGAAGCTGCCCCCAGAGGGAGGGACCAACTGAGGGCTGAGTTGGTCTGGCCTGAGGGCTGGCCTTGGGGGAAGGCTGGGTCTGGAGGCCCTGTGGACAGCAGGCCTGGGGCCACCCCTCTCCTGCTCTGGGTGTCCTCAGAGAAGATGGCAGAAGGTTGCAGGCCTTAGAGGGGACAGGTGGGGGACGCCCTGAGCTTCCTGGCCGTGTGGCAGGTGCTGAGGAAGCTCTCTGGGACATAAGGACCTGGCTCCCCTCTGAGAGGCCCACCTGCCCCGGGGCAGCCAGGGCTGTGCCTGTGGCCTGAGGCTGGGAACTTGGTTTCCTGGGCTCTGTTGGCGCCTGGGATTTGTGGGGGCCAAAGGTGATTGCCCCGCCAGGCAGGGGGCTGTGTGGGCCCTCGTGGGGCCATCTTCTTGTCAGTGCCCGAGGGACGGTGGAACAGTTGCCCCTGCGCCGAGGGAGCCCACTGCCGTCCCCCATGAGCTGGCGCTGCAGCTGCGCACCCTGTATTGCCTGCTGACTTGCTTGTGTCTGTCTGGAAGCAGTTTCTGTTTGGCCACAGGCCTGTGTGCCTGGGCTGATGGCCACAGAGCTGACACTTGGGATTTGAGTTCCAGACTTGGCAGACCCTGGGATCCGCTTACTCCTCGGCGCCACGGCTGCTGTGCTTCCAATGGTGGCATGATGCCTCCTGGGGCCACAGCGGGGTGAAGGAGGGTGAGCCGGACATACCATTGTTGGATGTATTTTTTTTTTTAAAACAGCAATAATTAGCCATTTTAAAGGAGGGGTGTACCTGTGTGTGCATGTGCACGTGTTTGAGCATGTGTGTGTGTGTGTGCAAGTGGGTTCTTGATGTGTGTAGTGTGAACATGTGTGCATGTGTATAGGTGTGCATGTGTGAGCGTGTGCACGTGTATGAGTGCGTGTTGTGTATGTGCATAAGCATGTACACGGGTGAGCATGCATGTGTGCATGTGAGTGTACACGTGTGTACAGGTGTACATGTGCATGAGTTCTTGCGTACCTGCGTGAGCACGTGTATGATATACGTGTGGGTGTGCGCATGTGTGAGTGTGCATTTGTTTGTGTCGGGTATGCATGAGCATGTATACATGTGTGATGCACATGTTCTTGTGTACTTCTCTGAGGGGCACGTGTATGAATGGATGCGTGTGTACATATGCATATGGTGTATGTGTACTTGTGTATGCGTGGGCGTGTATGCGTGTGAGTCCTTGCGTGTGCTGGTGTATGTGTGGGCATGCACGTGTATGGATGTACATGTGAGGTGTACATGCAGTGTATATGTGTGTTGCATGAGCATGCGCGTGTGTGAGTGCCTGTGTGTGTACTTGCATATATGTGGCTGTGCAGGCACCCGGCGGTGGTGAGCTGGCAGTGCCCGGGGAAGCAGGTCCTACCCACCGATTCCCTGCTGGGCCCCCGGCCCTGGGCAGAGCTTCCCTGGCCCCTCTTGCCCCTCGGTGGGGCGGGGCCTCGGTGGACGGCCTGGGCAGCTCCAGGGCAGGTCCAGGGAGGCCAGGCTTGGGGAGCGCAGGGGGTGGGGTTCACCTGCCGCTGTTTGTTCCCGAAACTGTACTGTGAGCCCACGGCGGGGGCAGATTGTTCTGAGGCCCCAGATGTGCCAAAACAGCCCCCAGGGTGGGGCAAGCGCGTTCTGAGGGGAGGGGCTGCGGGGGCCCGGGGTGGGTGTGCGCCCCTCCCCTGGATGGCCCCCAATGCTGCTGTTTTTCAATAAAACCAGAGTTGAAGGCACCTGGCTCCCGTGCTCTCTTGAGGCGCCTCCTGCCCACTGTGTGGCAGGGCTGGCTTTCAGGGATGTGGTCCCCCACCCTTGGTGGCCCAGTTTGGCCCCTGCCGCCTCCCCCTTCTCCCCTGGCCACCCCCTTTCCTCACCTTGGCTCCCCTACACCTGGCCAGGCTGCCCTGCAGCCAGCACTGCCCCCTGGAGGGAGTGTAATCTGGGAGGCAGGGCAGAGGGGCTTGGTGGCCCCATGGGCTGAGGCCCCTCCCCCAGCAGGCACCCAGCCGGGTGGGCTCTGCCCATTCACTCTCAGGCCCGGGATCCCCTGAGCAGCTCCTGGGCTCTGCCCTCCCCCAGCTCTGTGCTTGGCCCTGGGCACTCTAACTCTTGGCAGAGAGCTTGGCCCCCAGCCCCTGCCCCCACACCATCCTTGCCACCCCAGTGGGACTCCCGGCCAGGCCCACCAGGCCCTGCTGCCCTGTCCTCCTGGGTCTGAGGTTCCCAGTTCCCGTGGTTATGCCCCTCCTTGCCCTGGCAGCCCCAGCACCTGCCTGCCCGCCTGGCCCCTTGGAGGAACAGTGGTGCTGAGGGAGGGTGTGAGGTGAGTGGGCATTAGAGCCCACCAGGATGGGGGTGGACCCCCAGTGTCTGTGAGGGAGGATGCCAGGTCTGGGGTCCAGGCCGAGGGTGCTGCAGCTCAGGGCTGTGGTGGGGAGCAGGGTGTTGGGGGGGGGGTCTTGCAGACGACATGGGGTGGACACAGACCCCTGTCCTGGCAGATCCCTGTCAGGATGCCAGTCTTGTTGGCAGACGGACTCCTAGAGTCTAGGGGTCCCTGAGCTCCACAGCCCGGTCCCCTGGGCCACTTTCCTGGTAGGGGTTTCCTTGGCCCGGCTTCTGCCTTCTCCACCTTCCCAACCTGTGCTGCCAGGCCCTCCAGCCAGGACCCTGGAGGAACCCCAAGCTGCGAGTATCTTTCCAAGGGCAGGGGCAGGGCTGCCCCTCAGCCTGGAGGGCTAGGCAGCCTTGGCCTGGGCTCGGGTAACCAACAGCAAAGCCCATCTGGGACATCCCCCTGAAACTGCGGCAGGACGGAGGCCTGGGTGCAGTGGGTACATCAAGGCCTGGCAGGGCCTGGTGGGGCTCAGAGTGCTGCCCAGGGAATGGAGGCAGGGGCAGCACCGCGCCGGCAGGAGGGCCCAGCAGTGGTTACAGGCAGCTCCCTGGATCACTGGGATGTCCCACCATACTGGGGGCAGGCCGGGTCACCCACGACCCACACACATGGGAGGCGGTGAAAATGTTTTTGATGCTGGGAGAAAACCAGGCCGTCTTGGCCAGAGTGGGTGTCCTCTTCCTGGGGAGAAACCAAATGCTTCCTTGAGTCACAGGATGGGCACCTGGCTCCCCCCAGGGGGCAGGAAGCACGAAGAGGGGCGAGGCTGGCGTGGCATGGCAGCAGGACTGTGATCTGGACCCAGCTGTCCCTGCCTCCCCAGCACCACACATGGTGTCAGGCAGATGCTGCATAATTGAAGGGAAGAAGGAACGGACTTCCAGCACCCGCAGACACAGCAGCGAGGTCCCGGCCAGTTTATTGTGATGACCCAGGTCACCCAGAAAAGACCCATGTTCAGTGGGCACAGGCAAGCCGCGTGGGTGACACAGGCGCCATTGAAAGAGGGCAGGGTGGTACACGTTGGGGGGGGCACTGCTCAAACCCACAGCGCCATCTGCGCCCCATATACTCACCCCGGCTGGCCTCCTGCAGTGGCACCAGGTATCCCCACGCACAGCCAGCACCTTGATGGTGAGCCTGAGTGCTGGCCGCTCTGTGGGTGGCGCCCACAGAGGTGACAACCCTGAAGGGTGCAGGGGGCCCTGTGCCCCACTTTAAGGGATGCTCTTGGAGCCCAGACCCAGACCTTGGTAAGGAAGTACATGGGAGGGGCTGAGGCACCTGGGGTGGGGGTGGCCTGAAAGCAGGACCCCAGGAGCACATTTCCAGGGGCCACCACAGAGACAGGGAGCCATGGTACAGGGTGAGGATGCAGCTGAAATCCTGGCTGGCGCAGTTTTGAGCCCTGTGACCTTTTGGTGCCTCAGTTTCCCCACGTGCAAAGGAGGGATCGTGTTGGTGCCTCTGTTGCAGCCTGCTGTGAGGTGGAGGCGAGTCACAGGTGTCTTGCTGGGCTGGCAAACGAGGCCACTGTGCATGAGGGAAGGCAGAGGGGCACGTGGGATGGGAAGAGTCTGGAGGGGCTGCTTGGAGCACTGGCTGTCTGGCGGGAGCCAGCCTGTTTGCAGCCACTGGTCACCAGCCTGCAGGAGGCTCAAGGGAGAGACCTTGTGGCCTGAGATCATGTGACCCCAGATGCCCACAGGTCCTCGGTGGCCCCTAGGCCGTGTCCATGGTGGAAGCCTGCAGTGGGTGGGCAGGCCTTCTCATAGAGGGGTTCCTCTGGTCCTCCTGACTCGTCAGTCAGGAAGACAAGCTCCAGGGGCCTCAGTGCCTGCGGGGAGACTGTTCTCTCCGTCTCAGTACAGGGCTGCACGCTGGGCTGGCCTGGGAGGACGGTGCACGCCCTGGGCCATGGCTTCCTGAAGCAAAGGGAGCCAGCAGTGGGGGGACACCACAGCGCGTCAAAGCTGGTGGCTTCTTGGACACCTGCCAGGGGTGAGCAGCTGCTGAGCCACGAGGGAGCCCTTCCCCTGGAATCCATGGGGGAGACAGCCAGGAGTGCCTACCCTCTCTGGAGTGTCTGGCTCAGACCCAGCCTGGGTCACTCCCATTTTGGGGCACTCAGCCCTGCCCCGGCCAAGTGGCTGGGGGTTGTGGATGCGACATTTCCCATGCACAGGAAGAATTCACTCAGACAAGGATGAGGAAGGCTTTGCACAGGCATTTACTCCAGGGGATGACAGGCCACCCCAGCCCCAAAGGGTTAATGCGTCCTGGGGCATACAGAGCTGGTGACCTTGGGGAAGGCCACACAATGGACTGTTGGAAACCAGTTCTCTCCTCCCACTGTTGCCTGGGGCTACAGACAAAATGAAGGTGAAAAATGCGGGGGCGGGGGGTGGCTGCTGACAGGGGACCCGGGGGTAGCCAGGCTGTTGCTGGGAGACTCAGTGCGACATGGGCCTAGTGGAGGGCCCCAGGCTTCCTGCAGTGGCAGCAGGTGTCCCCATGAGCGGCCGGCACTCAGGCTCACCTTGAGGGGTACCTGCAGATGGCAGCCAGAGGTGAGCCTGAGGCCTGGGCCAGCCATCCCCAGCCACCTCCCAGACCCCACGCAGGGGGACAGGGCCTACAGCACACAGGTGCACATATCCAGACACGTGATCAGACAGCCACACGCACACGTGTGCATACACGTGCACACTCACACTTGCCCAGTAACAGGCGTTTGCCACATCCACCTCCCAGTCACGACACCTCGATCTTGGCGGAGGTTCCCCCACCTGCCAGGGCCTCTGTGCCAGTGGGTAGGCTGCGGCCAGCAGACAAGGTGCCCTTGGATGGGTGGGTGTGTCCTGGGTGTGCTTGCCCCTCAGGGTCCTGCCCCCAAGAGGATCAGTGGCTCCTAGAGGCCAGGAGAGCCCTCCCCGGGATCCCTGACCCTGAGTGGACCAAGCCTCCACAACTCTTGTCAGGGAGGGAGGGGTCCAGCCCCGGCTGCTGTCCCTGTTCACTGAAGTGAGCAGAGTCAGGTGGGGCTTCCCAGCTTCAGGGACCGTCCAGCCTCCACTTCTGTGCCTGCTGTGGAGTGGCCATCTCTGGGCCAGGGCCATCTCAGGGCTGGGGCTGCACCCTTTGGCCTGGCTCTTCTGCCCTGGGGGTGCTGGCCTCCCCTCACCCTGGGCTCCATGAGACTGGGCAGGGTTGGGTGTCCCCTCACCTGAAGCTGCAGCTCCAACGCCTGCACCTGTTCCAAGGACTCCATGGTCCTCCTGACGAGAGCTAGAGTGCGGGAGAGAGAGGAGGCCCTGCTGGCCCCTTGGCCTTAGGGCCTGGGAGCCAAAGACAAGAGAACTTCCAGGCCCAAGTCCTGCCCCGAGCCCCCTTGTTTTTCCCGTATCCACTCGGTCACCCAAACCAGCTGTGGGACCTTAATGCCCACAAGCAGCCCCTGATTGCCCGGCCCCTGAGGCTGGGTCCAGCTCCCCCGGCCCCGTCTACAGTCCAGGATGCCTCTCGCAGGCCCTTTGGCCCTCGCTACAGCCCCTCCTCCTGGCCTGGCCCGCCACGCTGCACTGGCCCTCACCCCTACCCCTCCAGCTCAGCTCACCCCAGCTGGGGGCCGTGGGGTGGCGCAGGTGTCATGCCAGCTCTATTCCAGAGCCTCTGGGGCTGGGAGGAGGGGGAGGCACAGGGAGCCCCACCAGCCAGAGCCACCAGGCACACAAGAACCCCCAATCCCCACTACTGCCGGGTGAAGTCTGAGGAAACAGTGGCTTTGTACCACGGGCAGACTGGCCCCGTTGTAGGGGCCTGGATCACCATGCAGCAGTGGGGCTCAGGGCCCTGAGAAAAGGCAGGCCTGGGCAGGGGGTGGGGGCGGGGGCAGGACCCGCAAGCTCAGGCTTTCTCAGGGCTCGCTCTGAATCCTTGAGCCCCTGGATAAACATTCGTTCAGTCCTTTCGTGCTGTGTGACACCGCAATGCAAAGATGGTGGCAGGAGCCCTAAGCTGTGGTGGGCACCACCTCAATTTCCAGCCCTGCTGACCCCAGCAGAGCCAGGGCCTCCCTGGTGTGTCCTGAGCCAAGGCCAGTGGCCACCTGAGCTCTGTGGCCCTCAGTGTCTTCTGTGCAGGAGCCGGTCACTGTCTGCAGGGAGCTGTCGACCAGCAGGGCATACGGCCCATGTGCACGGTGGGGAGCCCCGCAGAAGGACCTGGGCTGCCCTGGGGACCTTCTTATGGGGACAAGGCTGGAGAGCCGATGTAGTCCGAGCTGGACCGTTGCTCCTCATGCTGGCTGGGGCTACCCCGAGTGTGCAGAGAACG